GTGTGAAATGTGAGAACCGAGTGGAGGCAGACGGATCAGAGACGTGCCGACAGCCTCCATCATCAGCCTCTGGAATGTCGCTCGCCCTGGACGCTGCGGAGCTCGCCAAGCTGCCCCCGCCGGAGGTCGACTCGGTCGAGAGCTCGCCCGTCGAGAGCTGCGACGAAGAGTACGAGCGCTCCGCGGTCGCCGCGCTGATCGTGCTCAGCAGCCTCGCCGAGCAGCACGCGACCGCGCAGGGGGTGGTGCCGTGCCGCCGCACGCCGTCGACGGAGTGGGAGTCGGCAGGCTCGCAGTCTGACTCGCCGCGCGTCGTTCGGCGCAAGCTGGGGGACGGTGCGGCCGCCTCTGCCCTCTGCAGCCGCGGCGATGCGCAGACGCTCAAACACTCAAACCGCATCCAGCCGAGCCCTGCGCTGGTTCGGCGCCGCGCACGCGCACCGGCGGCCCGACGGCGTTCCCGCCCACGTCGCAGGCGGCTTCGCCCCCGGCGCACGCTTCCAGTGCCGGTATCCGGGTGCGCCTCACCTCTCTGAGAGCGCTCTCAAACTCCCCCCTCGTCGCCGCCGCCGCCGCGGGCCCGTCTCCTCCACCACCTGCCTGTCCGTCGCCGCGCCGCGCCCGCGCCGCCTCGCCCTCCGCCGCCACCCCGTCGCTCCGCCTCCCACCCGCCTCCCCGACCCGCCATACGCCGCAGGTTGCGGCAAGTTTTATGCCTCGACGGATGCCGTACGCAAGCACTGTCGGAAGCGGCACAACGAGTGGCTGGGCCAGCTTGCCCAGGTGACAAGCGCCCCCCCCCCCCCCCCCCGGGGGGGGCCGCCGCCCGCCCGCCGCCACCCTCGCTCGCTCCCCCCCGCGCGTCGCTCTCTGCCAAGCAACTGCCGGGCGGGGGTGAGGAGGGCAGCCGGCCTGCTGATTGAAACCACCCCGTCTTTTGCACCGCATCGTTTCCGCAGACGCCTCCCTTCACCTCTTCCGTCCGCCACTTTCCCCCCTCTGCCCACCGCGCGCTGCTCGGCCCTCGCCCCCCGCCGCCGCCGGCCTCTCCTCCGCCCTCGCGCGGCGCCCACCCCCTTCCAAACCCCCTTCCCCACCCCTGGCCCCACCCCCTCTCCCTCTCTCACCGCCTCCCCGCCTCCTCGCCGACAGCTGGCAAGCCACGACCGCCAAATGTCAAAGCCCGCGCTCTACTGCCGGTGGTCCGGCTCCGACGAGTCGGTCGTCGGCGTCGCCGCCTGA